CTGAAGAAGCAGAAAAGGTCCACTTTTAGCCATTTGGGGGTTAATTAATGTTGCTGGAAAAGAGCCGGGGTGCTGTGATGTGTTGACAAGAGAGAAACGGTCATTTACAAGAAGATAAAATCCTCCTGAAGATGGATGCTGTGATCACATTTGCCTTGGAAATACCCACCAGGTTAATAATGAACAAAACATAGAAAAAGAAATTGATGAAATTGGCAACAACAATTTATGTTAACATACACACATTTCAGTTTTACACTAAATGCTGAGTGTTGTGTGTTTTAAATAAGTAAGGCTGTAGCACACAGGTGGTCAGTTCTTACCAGAAAGTATTTATGTTGTAGCCTTTTAGTAGTGGGTATTGTAGTAAACTCTGCACCTCGAGCCATGACTCCGTTAAACTGATCAAGTTTGCGGACGACACCACCCTCATCGGGCTCATCTCTGACGGTGATGAGTCCGCCTACAGGAGGGAGGTGGAACGGCTGGTGTACTGGTGCAGCAGCAACAACCTGGAGCTCAATGCTCAGAAGACAGTGGAGATGATTGTGGACTTCAGGAAAGTCACAGCCCCATCTCTCCCCCCGTCCTGACGGACACCCCCGTCACCACTGTGGACTCCTTCCGCTTCCTCGGAACCACCATCACACATGACCTTAGTGGGAGCCATCCATCAGCTCCCTGATCAGAAAGCCCCAGCAGAGGATGCACTTTCTGCGGCAGTTGAAAAAGGCCAAGCTGCCGGCCCAGATGATGGTGCAGTTTTACACGGCCATCATTGAGTCCATCCTCACCTCCTCCATCGCTGTGTGGTACGCTGGAGCCACAGTGAGGGACAAACACAGACTGCAGCGCATTGTGCGCTCCGCTGAGAAGGTGATTGGCTGCAGCCTTCCATCTCTCCAGGACCTGTACGTCTCCAGAACTCGGGGGCGTGCAGGTCGGATAGCAGCTGACCCTTCTCACCCGGGTCACAGACTTTTCGAGCCGCTTCCCTCAGGCAGGAGGTTACGGTCCATCCAGACCAGAACCTCCCGCCATAAGAACAGCTTCTTTCCATCTGCCGTTAGACTTGTGAACAGCTTATGAACACACAACCATGTTCGTCTTCTGTACTCGACATAACGTCACGTTATCGGCCATGTTACCATTACCACCCATTTTTATAGCTGAATGTTTTATGTTAGTTTTATTATATTTTATTCTACTTATTCTATTTTTGAAATTTATTAGTCATGTTATATGTAGCACATTAGTACCGAAGCAAGTTCCTAGTTTGTGAACTGCTTGTTCACTGACAATGGCAATAAACCTTTTCTGATTCTGATTCTGATTTGCATATTTTACCTTTTTATTCCTACAATAATGTGTTGAAATAATCTGGAAAAATACATAGTGCTGCCTGCTCTATGCTAATAGTAATGCTAACATAAACCCAGAGCATCGTTATGGAGTGCTAGCTTCTCTATGTCAGTGGTTCCCAAACTTATTTAGCCGCGCACCCCCTTCTATGTCCCGACCTTGTCGACGCACCCCCCAGCCCCCACATCAGGGCATGGCTATATATATATATATATATATATATATATATATATATATATATATATATATATATATATGATCAACCTTTTTCCCCATCACTGTCATTTTTTAAATTGTAATTAATAAACATTCAATACCATTACAATTTCCTTTGATTTCATTTTAAATAAATATTTAGAGTGCCCAGGTAGCACATAAGCAATGCTATTTAACGGTTTTTTTTTAAGTAGGAATGTTTCTCCTTCCTTCTGCTCTGCGTAAACCTGAGCTGATCACCTACTTGTGCGTAATCAAATGTCTATAGGGGGAAAAGGGAAAAGATATAGCCATGATGTTCACTTTAGCCTCAGACCGACTTATTGCTGTTTTATGGTGTGTCTGAATCTGCGATCCGCTGCCACGCGGACTGGAACAACAAATGCTGCAGTAACATGAGTTGTAGTCAGGTTCATGAGGAGTCACTGGCTGGAGCGGACCCGACTTTAATACGTCATCCTAAAATAGAAGCTAATATCTTCATTTGACCTGGAATGAAAAATGTTATAAAACCTCTTAAAAGTTTTTATCACAGAGGAGGCAGCGCTCATTTCTGCCTTCAGTCTGACGGCGAGCCGGAGTTTGCGCAGCGTGTGCGCTTATTGAATCTCTGTGTGTGTGTGTGTGTGTGTGTGTGTGTGTGTGTGTGTGTTTTCCACATCAAACACTGGTCTAACCAACCAGACCAGCGTGTCCAGTAACATATTAATGTTACACTTCATGTAGGCTAGGAACGTTTCACCTGCCGTGGCCCGACCGCTTCTGCTCCACATAAACTTTGTGCGTGATCAAAAGTCTCTACAGGTGCTTTCTGAGCTGAAGAGGCTATTCTGCCTCAGACTGGATGCGTCATGCGTGTCCATATTAGAGACGGGAACAAGCGCTGTTCAGCCCAAGTTTCATAATCAGCGAACATTTTTCCAAGTGACACATCCCTCAGAGAGACCGGCTTTCCAGACCGCTTCAGTGGGAGGAAATCTTACCGCGTCGGCGTGGTTCTGCGCTGCGAACCCCTCTACAGATCTTCAGCCCACTGTCCACCGTGTTCGCTCTGAGCCGCGCTGAACACAGTGTCCAGTATAAAGCTCTGACATTCTGATGGGAATCATTTCTTGATTGATTTAGTTACCTCAGCGATGTGCGTAACTATTAAAATGTCAGCTCATCCATGCGCATCAGTGTGCGTCGGGGTAAAACAACCAGCATCCTTGAGTTTATCCGTCAAAATAAACAGTCTAATATAAATATCTGTAACCTGCCATTTAACTGTTTTACCTTCTTGTGAAGATTGTTGCAAAGAGAAACAACTAAACTTGATTAACCCCAGAGCCACGCGCACTGCGCTGTACTGACTGTAAATGAGGGGGAAACGATTTAATCGGATCCTTTTCTTTTCAACGTGGTGTAATGTAAAGTTTCATTCAGTACAAACCTTAGTTACACCAATCTAATGAGACAGAGCCTGGATTTGTATTCTGAACAGTTTAAACATGTTTAAAACGGAAACATGCGTGACGCTTCTAAAATTCGCACCTGCTCCGCTGTTATGGAAATTAAACTAACAAGGTGAATAACATCAAATTATTTTAGGCACAGACAACATCCCCCACACTTTTGAAAAGCTTGCAACGCGCCTGGTGCTAATATAATAATATAATAATGCGAAAATGCTCAGATGGGAATCATTTATTGATTTATTTAGTTACATCCACAATGTTCTGTGTGTGAGGTTTACAACGTCAGAACACCTGCATGAGACAGGTGTTAATTACAATCTGCCAGAATGACTCGCCACCTTCAGATTCCTCCAACACCGTTAAAAATGATCAAATACGGAACATATCGGCGTGCGCAGGCCAGAGTGCTGAAGCTCGGCGCATTGTTATTATGAAGCTAGGGCACATGCGGAGGACGGACACACACACACACACACACAGTATACTTGTTTTCAATTACATTTATTGGGCCCACTTACTTTTTCTTTGGCCCACCCACAAATGAGTTTTTGGCTACTCTAATGGTGACTTTTGACAGACTTCTCTGAGCTCCGCAGCCATTACACTTTTCACCCCGCGCACCACCTAGCGGCAGCTCGCACACCCCGCTTTGGGAATCCCTGCTCTATGCTAATAGTAATGCTAACATAAACACAGGGCATCGTTATAGACATAGTGCTAACCGCTCTATGCTAATAGTAATGCTAACATAAACCCAGTGCATCGTTATGGACATAGTGCTAGCTGCTCTATGCTAATGTTTATGTTTATGTATTTAGCAGACGCTTTTGTCCAAAGTGACTTACAAGTGATAATCGGCATGTTGCCCTTGAGGCTAACAACAATAACAACAAACTTGACATCAATCATGGAGAGGAGGGAACAAGGAGTGGACAGTAGAGAGGGGGGACGGGTGCAGGGAGGGTGCTAATTTAGAAGATGCTCTCAGAAGAGCAGGGTCTTCAGGAATTTATTGAAAATTGAAAAGGAAGCCGCTGTTCTTGCTTGGTAGGTCATTCCACATTTGTGGAACGATGCATGAGAAGAGTCTGGATTGTCCTGAGCGTGGTTTAGGCACTTTATTCTGCTCTCCCCACCGATTCCACCTTCCTCAGGATCCACTGATTTCCCTCTTTCCTATTCACTCTCTCTCTTTCTTAACATTTTTTAATAACAATTGTCTGTTTTTTGCTCATTTTCAATATATTTTTAACCATTTTCTAAATTATTTTTTATATTTTACATTTTTTGTTTTTGTGAAGCACCTCGTGATTTTTATCTTGAGAGGTGCTATAGAAATGATACTTTCTTCTTTCTTCTTCAGTGGGCATCGTTACGCACATAAGGCTACCTGTTCTATGCTAATAGTAATGCTAATGTAAACACAGTGCATCATTATAGAAAGAGTCCTAGCTGCTCTATGCTAACAATAATGCTAACATAAACCCAGTGCATTGTTAATGCTAATATAAACCCAGTGCATCGTTATAGACCTAGTGCTAGCTGCTCTATGCTAAAAGCAATGCTAACGTAAACACAGGGCATCGTTATAGACGTAGTGCTGGCTGCTCTATGCTAACAGTAATGCTAACGTTAACACAGGGTATCATTATGGACATAGTGCTAGCTGCTCTATGCTAACATTAATGCTAACGTAAACACTGGGCGTCATTATGGACATAGTGCTAGCTGCTCTATGCTAACATTAATGCTAACGTAAACACTGGGCGTCATTATGGACATAGTGCTAGCTGCTCTATGCTAACAGTAATGCTAACATGAACACAGGGCATCATTATGGACATAGTGCTTGCTGCTCTATGCTAATGTTAAAGGGGCATTATGGAACTTTGACAGGCCAAACATGTATAGAAATAATAAATGTCTTCTTCATACATTCTCCTGCAATTCCCTGGTCCTGTAGAATGAGCCCTGGCATTTTTACTGTGATTGCCTGTTTTTCTGTAAAATTACAGAAAAAGAGAGATGCTCGGGTCGAGCAGGCTGCTTCATGCGCGTTCACGCTCAGGCATCGCCCGTAGCATTTGCTATCCGTAGCTTTAGCAGCAGAGAGTGAGGTAGGGCCAACTCAGCGACTTTGTCGCTGTTCCTAACGCCTAGTGATGAACCTAGCTACATTTCTGAGGACCCTTAGCTACTTTCTTCTAGATATTTCCTGCAAATTAGCAACAAAATAGCCATTTTCACTCCGAACCGTTCTTTGAATGTTGTTTCAGGTGTCATCAAGGATATAATTATTACAGATACAAAAAATGTCACTGGTGATATAGCTCATCTAGTAAGACGGCGGTCTCTCGTGCGGAAGATCCGGTTTCGATTCTGGATATGAACATAGTTTATTTCGAGTTTATTTTTTACGTTAATGGTATATTTTTTTACAGTAAGATGCCCAAATTTTTATTTGAGGCTCGCCGAACAGCATTGAATTCACAGATAAAAAAGATGTGGGTTCAACTTTCATTTTGGAACAATTTTTCAAGCAAGGGAAGTGAATGATCTGAGCATGCAGGAGGACTGACCCATCTTAAACCTTTGTCGGCTGTGCTGAAGAAAAAGGTACAGAACCAATTAGCTGCGCGTTCCCCTGACCTCTGTCCTCCGGGCCACACACACATACACACACACACACACACACACACACACACACACACACACATACACACATGGGACTGTCTCAGCTGTTATTTTCGTTAAGGAGTGTGCACGTACAGCATGCGCGCCTCGTGCACGAGCCTACTATTGAAGCTGTCGTTACGCTTTTGGCCTGAGGGGGCAAACGCGAGCATAAAAATTCAAAACTCCGCAACGTTCCTTTAATGCTAACGTAAACACAGTGCATCGTTATAGACATAGTGCTGGCTGCTCTATGCTAACAGTAACGCTAACATAAACACTGAGATTCATTATGGACATAGCGCTAGCTGCTCTACGCTAACATTGATGCTAACGTAAACACTGAGCATCGTTATGAAAATAGTGCTGAGCTGTGGAAAAATGAATGACTTCTTTTGTTTTTGAGGCGTGTGTTTAGTAGCAGGTTGTTAGCAGAGCAGAGAGTTCTGGTTCTGCCGGTCAGTAGCAGACCAGCTTTAGTCAGCTAGCAGGTACAGAAAAAATGGCCCTGGATTGAATAAAGCAGTTTGAACATTTTAATTTAGTTTTGTTTCATTTATTTCAATAGGGACCGATACAAGTATGTAGACAAACAGTAAAACCGCAGCCCCGTGTTTGTAGCGAAAAGCTTTTAGCTATAGCTAATTTGCAGCATTTGTCCCTAGATGGACTTTTACAATCATAAATTAAAGAGAAGAAGGAAAACAAATGTGTACAATAAAATCACAAAAAAGTAAAAATAGTCAGTTTTAGACAGAAAAATTATAAGAAAGTAAAAAAACAAATAATTGTTACATCTATGAAGTGTGTGTGCTACTGCTGGGACAGCCAGGATTTGGTTTGCTTTTTAAAAAAGTACAAACTGGTGACAGATTTCAGATTGAAGGGAAGCATATTCCAAAGCCCTGCACCTTTCACTGACAGAGTAGTCCAGGCAAAGGTGGTTTAATGGTACAGTACCTTGCAGTTTCCACAAGAGGCCACTCTAGTGCAGCTCGTTAGTTTAGTCATACAGTCGCGGGTCTGCAGAACCAGAGCACTGGAAAAGTTGTGTTGCTGCTAGTCAATCAGAGGAGAGATCTTTGCAACATTGATTAGATCAACTCATAATCCTGCCCCTAAAGCAGGAGCGCCAGTGCTGCTTCCCACAGAGATCAACTCACAAGGCATTTGTTCACTTCTGATTTATTGCGAAAATGAGTAAATGAGAGGTTTAAATCGGTCAGTGATGGTGATGCGTTACTAACCTCCGTCATGTTTGATATTTTTTGAATTTTTTATGACAGGACATTCTGGTATGCTCTCTGCCTGCATGTTTGTTATCATGGTTGCTAGTCTGACATGCTGAACCTTTCTGTTGGACCACAGTGCAGCGAGCCGCTCAAGGAGTTGTACAGTCAGCTGACAGAAAAGCTGGAGGCTCAGAAGAAGACCCCACCCCCCTCAGACGAGGCTCCATCTCTGGATCTAGGGCTGCACCCGGTCTCTGTTCCCACCTCCACACCCACCACACCCGTCTGAGACCTGACAGTCTCTCCCGCTGCCTTTCAGAGCGGACGACTCACACGTGTCTGCTGATTTCCTTGTGCTTGTGTAATTTCTTTAGAGGTTCGTCTTCCAGCTCTGACGCTGTGACCCAGAGATTTTCTCTGAAAATCCTCCTTTTTTAGAATGTGTGCTCTTGCACTTTTGTTCAGATCTAAAGTATTTTCATACATCCATCTGTTTTTGTGTGTAATATTTGAACTGTCTATGTAGCAAGAACCTTGTAAATAAAGCTATTTACAAACTCCATGGTGTTTCATACATTTAGTCCCAACGCTGCCACTCACCCTGAGCGGCATTGCTTTTCCTTTTCTGTGTAGTCATTTGACGAGAAACCTTTAGCCACAAAAGCAAAGGAAGAGTGGTTTTAGAAGTGTTTGGGAAACTCTCTGACGTCTCCGTAAGTAGGCAAGGTGAGGTGGAGGCAGCGCACATCGAGGACCTCTTCAGTTCTGGTAAGATCCTCTTAACAGTTTACTGTAGAGGCTCCATGGGAGCGTTCAGGATAGTCTGCCTCAGTACATATTTTCAGTGTGTAAACACATGAAACTTGTTTTCCTGAGAAGTTTAGTGTCTGGATGTGTTTACTAAAACTTTGATGATGATTTCAGTATCATGTCTGAGATCGCCTCAGAACTTTTATCTAGAACCCTCAGAGGAGACCAGATTCTTTTCCACACATTTTGAAAGCAGCTGATTTCTTCTCGACACCCAGATGTCCAAGTTTATTCTGAGTTTATTTTACAGCCTTAACCCTGATTTTAAGGTTTGGTACATGAAGCCCAGTCTAGTGCAATTTGATGAAAGTCCCACCAGACACCCTCAGCTTTGGCTTTTACCCACAGCTTCTAACAACCAGATTTTCTTTTATTCATTGACTCTGATGAAGTTAAACTCTCAGTTCTGCACGAAAACATGATGTGATCATTCTGTCAAAAGGAACCAAAAGAGAACATTGTAGTGTGTTGGTCCTTTTCATATTAAACTAAAACCATCACTTCCTTTCAGCCTTCTCTGGACTTCATAGTGACACATCTCATCTGTCCACAGGCAGTCCGTGCTACTTCCTGATCAAACTGCTCCAGCTCTCTCAGATGTGAAGGTTTCAGATCTTGCATGTTCAACTAGGATCTGATGCTTCCTGCTCTCTGGCCCCTTCACATCCTTCCATAGACGTGTTGTCATGCTTTTTCTCATTTCTATCGCTTCTGAACAGCCTAGTTTAAAACTAAATAAATACCATCTTCTTTCTGATGGTTCTGATTGAAGACACAGCAGGCACAGTCCAAACATCTTAATATACAATGAGGATTGGGCCAGAATCAGTAAACCTGAGTTACCTACAGTCATGCTGTGTTATGGGTGATTAAGCTCATGTAACGTAGGAACAAGTTTTAGGAAAAAGAAAATTCTAGATGAACCGTAGTGGCTTTAAAAGAGGCAGATGGTGCCAGGTAGTTACGATTGAAAACGCTTTGAGCCTCTATGGCTTGTGAAACTTTGGTGGGACTCCGCAACACTGATAAATGGCCAAACTCTGAGTCACCATAATACATGTGAACACATCAGTCTGGCTAAAGTCTAATCAAGCTGAAGTACCCAGATTCTATAAGTCACCCTCCAGCTCATGTCCAAACTGATATGTAACATGTCTAACATGAGGTATCTGAACCATAATAGAGGGATTTACATTTCAATGGTGGAAACAATGATGATTAAACAGCATGAATAATGTACAGGTGTGCCTTAGACTGCCCACAATAAAAGGCCACCCTGAAATGTGCAGTTTGATCAAACAGCACAATGCCACAGATGTTGCAGCCTTTGAGGAAGCGTGCAATTGGCATGATGAAATTAATGTTCATGTCTTTGCCATAAGCCATCTCCAAAGGCGTTTCAGAGAATTTGGCAGTACATCCAACTGGCCTCATATCTGCAGACCACGTGTGACCACACCAGCCCAGGACCTCATCCAGCATGTTCACCTCCAGGATCACCTGAGACCAGCCACCCGGACAGCTGCAGGAACAATCGGGTTGCACAATCAGAGAATTTCTGTACAAACTCTCAGAAACCATCTCAGAGAAGTTCATCTGCATGCTCGTCATCCTCATCGGGACCTGACTGCAGTCTGTTGTCGTAACTGACTTGAGTGGGCAAACACTCACATTCGATGGCGTTTGGCGCATTGGAGGGGCGTTCTGTTCACAGATGAGTCCCGGTTTTCACTGTTTAGGGCAGATGGCAGACTGTGTGTGTGGCGTTGTGTGAGATAGCAAACGGACTCCAGACTGGATCCGTCCTGGAGGTACCGTAAGCTTTGGAACGGATCAGCAAAACGGACCTGTATCGGAGTCCACTTGCTCTAAGGAAAAGATCCGGAACGGATCATGATCACGGATCCGGATCATATCCGGTGAGGAGTCTGTCCGGATCAACTCCTTTGGCACATCATCCGATGCGGGTCCGTTTTGGACCCGTGCATCAAACTCATCATCCAGTCAGGATCCGTTTTGGACCCGTGCATCAAACTCATCATCCAGTCAGGATCCATTTTGGACCCGTCCTTCACCAGGTTCGCCTTTGTGTGCGCTTTCATAAAGAAAATAATCCAGCCTGTTTTTTTTTAATAATTGGAATTCCTTAATGTTTAATTAGTAAATGAAAACATGCAGTAGCTGAGAAGTCTTTACAGAAAATAAGAGCTTTGGAGTAAATGATTTAAAATTATCTGTCACACCACACTTATCCTTTATGGTAAATGGTAAATGGCCTGTATTTGATATAGCACCTTCTAGAGTCCTGGAACCCCCCAAGGCACTTTACAACACAATCAGTCATTCACCCATTCACACACACATTCACACACTGGTGGGGATGAGCTACAATGTAGCCACAGCTGCCCTGGGGCGCACTGACAGAGGCGAGGCTGCCGAGCACTGGCGCCACCGGTCCCTCCGACCACCACCAGCAGGCATTGTGGGTTAAGTGTCTTGCCCAAGGACACAACGACAGCGACAGACTGAGCGGGACTCGAACCTGCAACCTTCCGATTACGGGGCGAGCGCTTAACTCCTGTGCCACCGTCGCCCATTTATGTTAAAGGAAATGCACACCCAAACCATAAAAGTATTTTGATGAATATTTATTAGCAGTAATACAAACTGTATAAAAGAACTGTCTGTTACATGTGCAAGCAAAGTATAAAGTATAACAATAGTAATGCAAACAGTATTAATAAATTGTGTTACCAGACTGTAATTTGTGTTAAAAAGATGAATGCTGGTCAGCGGGTTGAACTTCTTGTGTACCACTACGTCGCCTTGAGCTGTCTCGATCTGCTGCCAAGTTAAACCAGCGGATAGCATGTTTACAAATGTCGTGGTCAGTGGAAGCGCAGGAGATGGGATTTTTTCTCACAGAATCTGCAATCACAAAAGCAGATTTAAATGTTAATCATCATCCACCACCACAATTTTCTATTGCAACAGGACAATCTCCACTAATATCATCTTTCTGTAAGCAGAAAATAATTTGTCAACTAAAGCTCTCAATACTATTTCTTCTTTTATTAGACCAGCTTTAGAAGTAGCTATACAAGTTTATATTGACGCTGTGTAGCGTTTATAAGAAGTGAAACGCTGGAAACAATACCTCAGTGTGTGAATAGCAAAGGTATGAACTGGCTAGTGGCAAGAGCTGTCGTAGTGGAGCACATATTGTTGACCCAGAAAAATGTGTGAACATTTTAAAATGGGTACTTAATGGTTGATCCCAGCCTTACAGCCTCACCCTCAGCTCCTCCTCTCTTCCCTTTTATGGAATTGTCTGGGCTTGACGGAACCTGTGACACGGTCAAAATGGCGGTGGTGGCCACCTCCCATTTGGCCTCAAAAACGTGATATTGGAGCCTATGGAAAGGAGATGTCCAGTATATTTATGTCGATGGTATAAACGGAAATCGATGCATTATAAAAGTTGGATGGACAAAGGGGTTTGGGCCATAGTTCAGTTGATGGACAGTTATGGCAAGTTTCTGGAGCATAATGAGTTCAAAATTAAGTATAATCTAGACTGTTCGGTAACAGAATACTCTAGAGTTATAAAGGCCATTTCTCCAGTGTTTGGTCAGATGATCAGTCAAAGTATTCAACATGGAGCAAGTACACCGAAGCTTCCTAAATTATTTATAGTTGATTTGTGTTTTACAGACCCTAAATGTAATAACTCTTACCTAAGAGCAGTCTTGTCAGACACACTTTTCCCTATTCCTGTCAGAAGGAAAATTCTTTCTCCGATTCTCTCAAATAGATACCAAATACATAAGAACAGATTTTTTTTCTTATCCTCTTCTCCCCAAAATGAAGGAAGTCCACTTTAAAATGATTAATAATATAAATCCATGTAAAGAATTCTTAAATATCAAATTTAATATACAAGATAATTTATGTGTCTTGTGTAATAGTGATATTGAAACTCAGGAACACCTTTTCTATGATTGCAACTTGGTAAATACCTTTTGGTCAGATTTATACAATTGACTATTATCCAAAAAGAGTTACAATATCCCCTTATTCACATATAACATTATTCAGTTTTGTGGGGCCAAAGTTTCTCCAAACGAAACCCATCCACCACAGGTGATGGAAGAGGACAGACCAGTTGATGCGTGGGGTGAAACAAAATGTTGTTCTTTTATTTTCTTACAGATCCATCTGACATTTGTTCCCATAGTCAATCAATTCTTTCTGTAAGCTCCAATCTAACCTGCTTCAGCACAGTCCAAAACTGTTTGCCCCTGTCTCCATCCAACACACCTGTGCCCATTTTGCACCATGATTAAATAGAGGTGGAGACAGTGACTACACTAGAAGGGGGAATTATGTTAAAATGCTCTTCATCGACTACAGCTCTGCATTTAATACCATAATTCCCTCCACACTCACCACCAAACTGGAGCACCTGGGACTGAGCTCATCTATGTGCCAGTGGATCTCCAACTTCTTAACTGGCAGACCACAGGCAGTAAGGATGGGCGGACATGTCTCAGCCCCCACCACTCTCAGCACTGGAGACCCCCAGGGGTGTGTTCTAAGCCCCCTGCTGTACTCTTTGTACACATACGACTGTGTGGCCAGTACCAGCTCCACCACCATCATTAAGTTTGCTGACGATACCGTCGTGGTGGGCCTGATCTCTGACAACAACGAGGCGGCCTACTTAAAGGAGGTCAGGAATCTGAAGACC